TGTAGAATCAGTACTGAAAGTATTGTCAAAGGGTTCATGTGCACTTTAAGAATGTGTTCCCTAATACAGCCACACAATGCACTGCAATTCCAACTCGACCTATTTTTTTCTCGACCGCGGAAGGCTTATAAAACAGCATCTGGAGAAGGCTTTCCTTCATAAAAAACACTTCAGAGCTCCATTTAAGATAATAAAACAATCACGTACCTTTCAATGGTTTTGGACGAACTGAAAATAAAAAGTAAAAATAAGTGAAATGTTTGATGGATAATTTCATGTCAACTCTCAACATGTCCCATGCACCTACACTTGTTCCCTTGCCTTATTTTAAGAGTGGGGGAGGTGTTGGGTATTCGTCTGGGTTTGCATGCTCTTCAATATCTTTTCAAAGTAGTGTGGTCCTCATGCACCTTTGTACAATCATATGGCCCACCTTCTATTTGAGTTACACAAAGCCGTATGTTTCTCCGCTAATTTAAGTAGCCTGTTCCCCATCCTTTAAAAAATTCACGGTGCCTTTGTTGGCGTAGAGGGTAAAAGATTTTTATTACCTTGTTTGGCTGCCACGAACTCCACTCCTTGACTTGCCATTTGTTCCTGGAAGGTTTTGGATTGCAGCCCTTTGATAAGACTTTCACCATCGATATCACGATTAGACTTGTCTCGTGCAAACAGCAAGATCTTGACTCTGAAACAAATCATAATGCAGCGTTATACGTCAATATTCCCATTTTAAGTTAGCCTCTATAGTGTGCAAATGTGTTCTTTTCTTTTATTACGATCGATCGTACAGTAAGGAATGAACGTACTACGGAACAATACGAGTTGATAAAAATGCCACGGGTTTTGGTTGGATGAATGAATATTTTAACGCACAACTGAGGCTAAAGCTGAGCAAAAGAAAACTCGAAACTGGAGGAAACTGGAGTATTAATAAATTGTAAGCAAGTAGGGGATTCAGATATGTAAAGACGATTCGATGCATGATCCACCTTCTTAACTTCAAGGTATAATGATAAGTAGATATCGATTTTGGTGGCATGAATCCTTTCCCATGAGAATACAAGGACAAATTACATGTCAGCCATGTAACAAGAACCCAAGACCAAAAGTTTTGCTCAAGTCAACCAACTTTTATGCCCAGCCGAAAAAAGTCTATAGAAACTTTTCACCATCACACGTGATGGCAGCAATGACATGAGGCAGGAACAATTGAATCTAGTCTAATCTGATTTACATGAGAAAGAATTCAGTATCCCTGGGGAAAGGGTCCATTGTTGTGCCTCCTGTAATTGCTGCCATCACGTGATGGTTTAAAGCTTCTATTGGCCGAGAAAACGCCTTAACGTGCGAAAGGCTATCAATGTTCCATTGTTTTAGGGTAACGAGTTTGATTGCAGATAAGAGGAAAAGATACGATAATAGAGAGTTTTAGATTGACTTTTTTTTCTCCCCGCAAACGGCAAACGTGACCACGTTTTCATAGTTTTCGTATATTTTACTTTACCTTTTACAAACCTTCTCACCAAGCGCAAATACTCTTTTGTTTTTCTACTACTTGGACTTTTTTGCGATTCTTTTTCAGTAATTTAAAAGAATTTTTTACTGGTCAACTGACGTTTCACGCGACGTTTGCCGTGAACGTAAATCTAAAACTCTCTAATGATGAAGTCAGCCATCCTTACCTCATGGGATCGATGGCGGGATAGGTGACTGGTGGAACGGGTGTCATCATGTTGGACCCACTTCCACAAGATTCAGCTACTTTCTGATCCAGCATCAACCCACATACGTACTGCTTAACCACATCCTGGTTTGCGTTGAGTTCTTTCGGACACAGGAGGAAAAATTTGATCCACGTGTCACTAACAAGATGTATTCTTGCTACGCATGTGCCATAGTCTATCTTATCGTTGGCACTTCTTTCACGTCGTCTCTGCGAGAAAACAATTTCATTTGCCATAAGCATGGATTTTCTGGGCTCTTTTACTGGAAAGTATTTCAGAGTAATAAAAATTCACATAGAAAAAACGAGGCTAAACTATAATAACTCCACCTTGAACAGTTCAAGGGGGGTGTGGATGGGGTACCCGATTGTAAGCAAAGTACTAATTTTTAGGGCAATTGTCAGTTTTGCAGTGATGTCATTTCTACGTCACTATTTCAGATCATCTAGCTTCATCTGGTTGGTTTTGAGAGAAAGACGAAGTTGGAGGAAATATAATATCCATACACCGTATCACTGTAGTCCCATTAAGGAATACCCAATATTCTCAATTCCAATTCAATATGTGAGTTAAAAATGCCCTACCAATTTGTCTCAGAAACCGTAGAACTTTGTGTTACATGCAAGAACTAACTACTGTTTATTGGCATCCCTTTGAAGAATTAGAAAACATGGAAATGACTGTTGTTCTGACCACAATGATTACCCTATTTTCTAGACTTGCTCCAAGTCGACCTCTCGTCTCACAAGGAGTTTTTTATTTGAGCGGAGAGAATTTGACGAGCGACGAAGTCGCGGGAGGTCGTCCGTCGTACACGATACACAAAGGGCGGCGGACTTTGCGAAAGTCTACCAATTATCGAGTAAGCAGTATCTTGTGCAAAACCACACAAAGATAGCTCAAACAAACGACATACCGTGTTCACGTTGCTATTGTTAACACTGAGTTTGTCTGGTGCAGAAATGATTATCTCTGTCATCTTTTTCTCCAGATCAAACTTGTCACCATCATCAGCGATTTCTTTCGTGTACTTCATCTCAATTAGCTTGTCCCCACTCAGACACTTGTAGCCGTTGGCATGCATCTCGGACAATACACAAATGTTGGTCTTATTACAGGGGCTTCCTGCGCATGCGTCTTTTCTTAGTTTGCAGTTTTTACCGGTTGAATAGCTTGTGCATTTGCATTGGTAGCTGCCAACTGTGTTTGTGCATGTTCCATTTCGACACGGACCTGGAAAAAGCAAAAGAAAGAATAAAATAAAAACTAATAAAAAATGTTATAGCGTTTCGCAAGCATTTCTCATTTTTTATCATGGAAGAACCAGGTTATCTCGTTTTGACAGCCCATCAAAAACCAGCCAATCAGCGCGCAGAAAAAAAGTTGATCAGGTGATCCATCGAATCTACTTGGGAAAAACATGGCGCCAGCAGTCACAGAAAATAACTCTGAATCTTGCTTTCCTAGCTAAGTTATGGACTAGCAATGCATTTAAAATTCTACCTATACTCATAAAGATTACCTATGGGTCAAATGGTGCGTTGTGGTTTCAATTTAGGTATGAAATTATTATGAAATGAAACCTCTTTGTTCGCCAATAAACAACTGAAACTAGGACCGCCTGATCAACTACAACAATCCTTTACGCGCGTTCCCCGAGATCACCTGGAAGATGCTATGGAATTAATTTTAATAGGAGAGCGATACTTCATTTAAGAGTTTCGTTCAGTGACTAGGAATAATAGTTCCAAGCCGAGGCTACAGTTGCTGCGCATGATTAACTGTAGGTTTGCGGGTACATATGCGCGAAAACTCCAACCTCGACTTGAAATTACTTTCAATCAATAATTGAATAATTGTATATAGCCTAGTACAGAGACTTAGCACCATCACGTACTGGCGCCCATAATACAGCTTGGACTGCCTGTGGTTAGATGGCAGAACAATAAAAACCCTTTGCTCTCGGGAATTGAATTCTTTCTCATGTAAAACGATTGTATCGTTCCTGCCATCTAACATGGCTGCCGTCACGTGATGGTGCAAAACCTCTTATATAGTTAAAAGCAATTCAAAATACAAGCCTATCATTCGTGATCACTGACCGGAACTGTAAAACGGAGCATTCCACGAACTCTCGTATACATACCCCACAAGGGGTCAGTTCTCAAGAAGAAAAATGGGGTCGCATGCTATTGAATTTTTGAAATCTTGACACAATGGACTGACAAGATTCTGCAACTTCCTTATTACCAATAAAAATGTGTATCTTAAAAAGACTCACTTCTTTCGCATTCATTGATGTCGTTCGTACAATCCTTTCCTGCCCATCCTGGCTCACAACGACAACTGAATTCATTTTTCCCTGGACCAGTTTTGCATACTCCGCCGTTCATGCATGGATTGCTGAAGCAAGGATCTGATTCGCACAGAGTTTCTGCCAAGACTGTCATATTAGTTATGGTCGCTTCAGCCTCCAAGACTTTTCTCAGTGTTTTCTGAAAAAAAAAAATCGCAACATAAACTCTATTAAGCGACCGTTTATTAAACAGCCAACCTCTATAAAGCGGCCAACCTCTATAAAGCGGCCATCTATATTGAGTGGCCAACCTCTATTTAGCGGCCAGTGGTCAAAGTCCCAAAGAGGATTTCTGCACTATATACTTTTGTTAAGTGGTCAAACTGTAATTGACGGCCAACTTCCAATTGTCAGCTTACCAAATAGGGATTTAATACTAATGTATACTTATAATATGCCACATAACAGAATTATATAGTGCAGAAACGGCCCTCCTTGGGAATTTTGATTATTCATACCTTAAAAGCTTCTAGATCAAAAATATGACATTGCTTGGCGAGGTTTGGCTTGTTAACAGAGATTTCCAAGGAGACCAGTGCTTCTGATTCTGTTGAGACAAATATAACGAAGCTTTGTTAAAGTCATTTCTAATAACCAATCACGAAGAACTAGGATCTTGCTTAACCAATCAGTATGCTGCGGCACATGTACAGCAGCAACGCAAGCACCGCAATAAGTGCCTTTCCCGCATTATGATTAGGGGTCGTGACACTTGGCAATCGCAACTGATGAATTGAAACTTGTGGTCATTTTACATTTCATCCGAGCCACGGCAAATGCCAAACCTTTTGCAGCTATCCTAAAGTAAAAGCAACATGTTACACTCAGATATAGAGCGTTCTCACTCACGTGAGAAGGCAGCCATATTGGTGTACCAAACAATAGAAACTTTCTGCGCAGTTTTTCCATAAAAATAGACTTTAATTCCAGGAGGATAGAAAATGCATTATTTTGGTACATCATCAAAACGCTCTATTCTAAGACCCTTTCTAATCGTTGGTTTTGTTGAAACCTGTACCCTTGACCTTCCACACAATAGTATGGTGCCCAATCAGATAAGCCAACCGAAAGACGATGGCTCTAATCACAACCATACAAATAGCTTTAACATGCACCAAATCGAAATATGACGACCAATTTGAATTACTATAGTTCCGCACTGACTAGTGACTGACTAGCCTCTCATACACGTGAAAACGCTTTTATGTTTCCACGTGAGCAAGAGGCTAGTCAGTCCCTAGTCAGTGCAGAACAAAAGCTATTCAGATTGATCGCTAAATTTGGATTCGGTGTACAGCGAGTTACTTACCAAAGATCTTCAAATAGGCAGCATTCGATAAAGTAGTGCCGGCGGCATTACGGAGAGAACAGCGGTACCAGGCTTGGTCTTGGATGATTGTTTTCCTGATGACTAACGTAGGCTTGTCTGGGACAATGTCATTGGTAGCAAGGATTTCGACATCATTCTTGAACCACTGATACGAGGGATCAGGGTCACCAGTTGCTTTGCATTCCAGGGTTGTGATACCTCCTAAGGCAGCTGAAGTGTTCTTTGGGTGCAGTATGACTGTTGGTTTCTCTGTTTTCGAAAACAATAGATTTTCTTAGCTCCGGCATAACGTTTTCTTAATTCAGATCAAGTGCAACCTCGGAAGACCGTCTTCCCTTCGAGCGCCGCCATCTTGAAAAAAAGCGAGAAGAGAAGGCCCTGGGAACGATGTTTGATCAAGTGTCATTTAAATACTATTCTTTGCTTCAGTCGTAACCAAATTCATGGGTCTTACTTCTTCCGTTAGACAAAGAAATGATACTCTAAAGAATGACATATGGTTTGAAATGGAAAGAATACGTCCAACCTAAGAGGTAATATGGATAAAGATATGGGCAGCGTCCCAAGTGAGACGCGAATATAACATGTGGCCATCAGAAACGCTGCAAACCGATCGGGATGAACTGATCCCGCATTCAATGTTCTACCTCCCTAGTTACTGTTGCAACGTGAGACAAACTGAAATGTGTTTCTGATATAGAGCATGGAACAGAAACCGATTGCTGAAAATTGTAAATGTCTGTCTTAAAATCAGTGCACTCTAAAGGTACTTTAAGAAAAAAAATCGACCTTAATAAAATATCTTATGAATTCGAGTTTGTTGGTCGGGCATTCTTTATTCCATTGGGAAAACTACCCATTGTTTTGGTGGACACTTAACCTTAGCCAGGATCGGTCTATTGAACAGACTTACCGTACACAATCAGCATGGACGCCGAAGACTGTATTACGCCAGCTTCACTTGATGCCAAACAAGAATAAGAACCTTCATTTTCTTGACTCAAACGTTCAATGACGTAGGTACCATTTGATGAAGGAGTGGTCAACATCCTGCCATCTAACATCCATCGGTATTCAGGGACAGTGTTACCATTGGCGGAGCACTTTAGCTGAAAACAACGAACAAAAACAATTTAGTTTAGATACAAATAAAGAAGCAGTGAAATATTTACTTATTCATGTACATCAACTATGACTGAAGACTTAGGCCAAGTATAAAAGTATACAGTAATGATAAAAAGGTAAATTATACACCGTGAAAAGATGAAAAAACTTACTGACGTTTCGGACGCTAGTCCTTCGTCGGAGTAAAAGAGAAAGAGGTGGTAGAAAGGAGTGTTAGCATGAGGAGTGTTTATGTTTATCCTTTCTACCACCTTTTTCTCTTTTACTCCGACGAAGGACTAGCGTCCGAAACGTCTGTAAGTTTTTTCATCTTTTCACGGTGTATAATTTACCTTTTTATCATTACTGTTTCATTGGAAACACCGACGCTAGCTTTTAGCTAATTATATCTTCTTACATAAAGTATGATTTTGTTTGAGAGCTTTTCTTGGTTACAGGGCGTGCGACATCATGAAATTATCAATATGTCAAGTCAATTTTTCAGCGTCAAATGCAATTTGCATGTCAAACGTCTTGCTCTTCCATTAGACCAAATTTCGTATGACTGTGGAAGGTTACTGCACACGGTAAGATGTTCACAAGATCCGTTGAGCCAATCACATTGCGCGCGATATTACTACTTATCGAATGGAAATCATTATTCAAATAAATATTAAATTTAAAAAATGTCATATAGGCAAAAATACTAACCTGATGAGGTTCGCCAACAACGACAATTTTATTCTCATCGGGTTTCTCATCAAAGTGACAAAGCGTCTTGACGTATATTCCTCCATCACTCGTTACAGTAAACACCATTGCTTCACATGTTAACCTAAAGAACGACCAATAAATTGGGTATATATGGCTCAGCTCAAACGTCGAACTTCACATGAGCCGAACCTAATTGAAACAATGGTAACCATGCGGGGTTTTTTTATGTCATTAGGTTCGGCTCATGTGAATTTTGACGTTTGACCCTAGTATAAGAGATCTTCCCCCTTAACTTCTATTTTAGATTGTATCTTCGTGCATTTGGTTGCAGTATTAGACAAAAGTACATAATGTTCTTTACATATTTACTTCACTATTTGAAACATTTTACTTTGCACATGTTAGTACCATTCAGGGGTGGATCCAGGTATTTTAGAACGGGGAGACTATTACAAAGGTTTTACCCATGAGCAATTCGAGGAAAAGGGGATGACTGTTACTAATGATATACTGAGAAATTTGAGCAAAAAGGGGGGTGACTAGTCACCTATATTACCACCCCTAGATCCGTCCCTGACCATTATCATTGCAATGATTCGTAGATTTAACTTGACATAATTAAGTGAACAAAACGGACGAAAATTCCGAAATGCGTTGTGCGTTAGCCACGCCTGATCTAAACACTTCTAAAGAATATTAATCTTACAGACTTTGTCTCATTACATTTTCAATAAACGTATTTATAAATACTTTTATGAAAAAAATTATTAAAATATATTTGGGAGTAGTTTGACACTAAGAATCAAATTCTTTCTTAGAGTCGTACTAGATCGACTTTCATGGTGCCATCTCTTGTACTAGATCGACTTTCATGGTGCCATCTCTGATAATGACTAGCTGTTAGTAGTTAGGACTGCATTGGTGTGTTGAACACAAAAAGTGAATAAGAAGGAAACTGTAATTAAACACGGTGTTAAAGAGTCTGCATTTGTATTGTGGTTTCGGGCGTTGCTCCTTCGTCGGAGTAAAAGACTTAGTAGACGAATGAAACATGGTCTGTAAGCTAGGCAAAGACTGAACATAATGTAAAAGGGTCTATGAAATCACAACAGAGTATGTGTTAATTAGATGTTACCAATGGTTTATCCAGGATTTTTAAATGGGGATCTAAAATTGCCGCTGCGCAGCTGCACAAAGAGGGGCGGAACTACCCGTTGATCCGCCATTGGCTACAGCCACAATCATTCAGCTTACCCCGACTTAACATGGACTGTCACCGTCACGTTGCTTTCAAGACTTGGCGATCCTTGGTCGTAAGCTGCTACTGTAGCCACATGATTACCACCGATCTAAAAAAAACACGAAAATATCCAAATAACTTAAACTGTTGTTGCGCTTTAATGATCAAGCTATGAAATGTTAAACTGTGCTTCTCAAAAGGGCGCGCGACAATGTAGTCGTCGTTACAATGTAGGTTTTGGTGGACAACAATCAGTGCATCAGTTTCCATGACATTCATAGACACGTGCCATTGAAAATTTTGTTGTTCCGACAGTGTCATGGAAACCCTTTGATTGACGTTCACCAAAATCCGATTTTATTGGCAAATTGCACACGACTGTAAAGAAACGCATCAATATTGCAAGTCATGCAGTCATACTGCACAATAGAAAACAAATTATGCGTCTACTTTCCCATTGCCATGATGGCATCAATATTGCAACTTCCAACTGCTCACGTTTGACAATATTCATCCTATACAAGACATTTTGTATATAAGCTTGCGCTGCAAGTTACAAAACGGCACCCTTATGACCGGGAAACGTACGGTACTGACTTTGAGCACTTACATGGTACGAAATGCCGTAACATTTAAATCCCTTCCCATAAGAATGGTTTTCGTATGAGTTGGAAACATACGGTACAGACTTACATCTAGTACACAGTACATACCGTAACATTGAAATGGCTTCCCATTGTCTTCCAGTAATTCATCCAATCACAACACGTGTTTACCGTATCTTTTCTCACCCATACGAAAACTGCACTATATTCCTCAATTTGCCTTTTTCGCTTAAGAATAGAGTTAACATAAGGAAACGCTTGCCCTTACCTCAGTTTGTCCAGCCATTCTGTACTTGACAATCCCTCCCGGACCAAGGTCTTTGTCAGCAGCAGATATTGTAAAAAGAAATTTTGTTTTGATGTCGTCAAAGTCGAACGTATAAGCGGACTCCTGGAAAGTTGGCGGGTTGTCATTCACGTCCTCGAGGATGATGTTGACGGTTGCTATGGCTGAAGAGAGAATGTCGATACCACCCTCGGCTGAAATAAAGTTAAATTCAACAGTTTGATTAGGATTATTGGTGCATGGAGCATTTGGATGGATGGAGGGATGGAGGGAGGGAGGGAGGGAGGGAGGGAGG